AACCAACCATAAGCTGCTGCCATTCGCTGTGATGCCTGAGGGGCCTGGGCTCAATCACCACAGCAGTCGTGGTCCACATCGCGCACTTCTATCTCACACTTGGGTTCTGTCCAAAACTGAGAACCTGAAATTGTTACCGCCTCACGCCCCAACAGCGGAAGAGTGCCCGCACTCGCTATTATCACTAGCGGGTTCTGTCCAAAACTGACCATCTGCAATTGTCACCGCCTCAATCACCAGTGGTCCCTGGCTCTGTCATTACGGTGGTTGGCGTAAACGTGGCACCTGATTGTGGCCGTGGCGGCTCGTAAATTACCATATGTTGGTTATCCGGCACCCGTTCACCATTCCGGTGCACGGCAATAGGCGTCGGGCAATCGTCATCGTCGGAAACACACTCGTCCACACTCTCCGATGTGTCAGATTCCTCCACTTCGAGGTCGTCTACTTCAATAACCCAGCAAAGCTGGTCTGTGAAGGACTCTTCCCATTCATCGTAAGACTACTGCTTTTGTGGACTGTCTCCACCTCATGCGCACCGCGCCATCGTTGCCGCGTGGAGGCAAAACCACACTTCCATCCGCTGTGAGTAATACCACCACACTCTCCATAGTCAGTTGCAACAAAATCTTCTTCCGCGAAATCGGCTCGTTGATTAGTAGCACCCTGACAGTGTAAATACACGCCCTGAGATACGACATCTCTCCATTCATAAACGAAGCTATTTCCTTCGTAAGATCGAAACGCTCCGCTGAGCGGAGGAGCTCGTTCCACTTAGTGGTGTCGTGCTTGATGCCCTTCTGATGGCTGTACTCCATCTTTTTAAAGTCTCTAGCAGCGTCACGGATAAGATTGCAAATCGGCTCCGCAACCGCAGTAATTAGCGACCGCATACAGAATGGACCGCGCACGCGAAGGCCCAAAGTTTAACTGCGTTATCAACTCGATCATCTTGTTAGCACCTTCCTCGGTAGCCAGGCACGCCATAAATGCCTCCTCTGACTTAGCATCCATCAAATCAGCCGCAACCTGGATTTGGTACAGAACGTCCTTGTGTTGATAGCAATCGACTGTGATCTTCGCATGTTTGAATTTATACGCAGTCATCGTGGTTAAAAAAACAACACAACCGCCTTCTGCGCCAAAACGGAGGCCCAGTCGCACACGCGAGCGCCCAAAGGTTTACTTCGCTGTCAAGTTGGTAGTGGTAGTAGAATCTTCCTAGGTCGCCAACTAAGGACGACGAACCAAACCCCCTCAATA